GACCGGTAATGGCGGACGGGAGGGGACGGCGTGTGGAGTGTGGACAGCGAGTAGAGTGCCTGGAGCTGGAGCCTGGAGCTGGAGCCTGGAGCTGGGGCCTGGAGCTGGGGCCTGGAGCCCGAGCGGAGCTGGCCGAGGTGCCCAGCGCGGCGCGGTGCGGCAGCGCGGGCCATCACAAAAAAGGGAATTCCGTTACATAATGGAGTGTCCGAGGCTGAGTGGCTGGCCGCGCGCCGCAGCGCTGCAGTGAGACGGCCCGGCCGGCCTGCACGGCGTCGGACTGGCCAAGGAGCAGCGTCAGGGTGGCCGCGCCTGCCGTGGCCGCCGTGCCCACTGGACAGGACGGGGTCGCTTCCCACCCGTGCGCCAAGAGGCGGCCAGAGCGACAGCGGCCCCATGACACCCGACCTGCCGGATTGCACGGCCGCCCTCCGCCCTGCGGCCACCTTGAGGAGCTTCCCCCTCGGCCCTGGGCCCTTCGGCGGCGTGGTGCCTGCGGCTGCGTCACCGGAGCCACTCGCGCGGAAATTCGCTTAAACGGGAAGACACCGACACCGTCGCGCCCGGCACCCGGAAAAGGGGCACCCGCGCCGAAAATAAAACAAGAGCACATGACCCCGACGTGATTTGAACACGCAACCTTCTGATCTGGAGTCAGACGCGCTACCGTTGCGCCACGGAGTCGATGTGTGACCGATGTATCCCCCACTGCTTAGTCTCGACTGCATGTACAGTACGAGGAGCGAGTCGGCCGCGTCGAGCCGAGCGGAGGAAGACTGTGGTCGCGGCGATCGAGCGGGCGGTCGGGCCCGGTCGGGCCGGGCGCAGCGCCAGCCGCGGAAGCAGACAGGACACCGCACCCCGCACCGCGCCGACGCGTTGGCCACCTCGTTTTGGAACCGATAGTGTATTTCTGCAGATGGGGACGACAGGGCACCCCGCGGGGGCGTTGTCAGGTTGCTGCTGCTGTGGCCGAGGCTGGGGCCGGGCCGAGCCGAGGCCGGCACCGGGGCGCAACTGGTGACACCTGAGACCACTGCACTCCACCGCACTCTGGGGGCGGACATGCACCCCGCCTGGTGGCCGAGGGCAGCCGAGGGCGAGGGTGCGGCGGTTGACCACAGCGAGAGCGATGTCGCTGCCAGCCGCCCTCTGCACACGTTGCGGTCCGAGCGACTGCTCGAGGACTGAGGGCGGCCCGGGGGACGGGGGGGGGCGTCCACGAGCACACCGCGCACGTCGAGCAGGGTGCATATTGTTTGTCCAACCTTCTTTTTTCCGACCTGGCCAAATTTCACCTGCCCGTGAACCGGCGGAAAATTTTGGCCCACCTTGTATGAGGAATGGAGGAATGAAGTGCTTGAAGCAATGAGTTCGAAGCGCGCTGGTAAAGCTAGTGAAAACGTGAGACAGCTGGGAACCGATCGGCCGATCTTGGCGAGTGTTATGGACGCCTTTGCGCTCTCGGCCACCACTTTTTCGTGTTTGGGTGGGATGAGACAGCCGAGCCATGGTCGGCATGGTTAGGCGGTCGCTCCGTTCTGGAGCCGTCTCCTGGCGAGCCCCGTCGGCCCCGCCAGGGCCCCGCCCCGCAGCGCACCTTACGCCGAAACCAACAAAGGCTCTCATCCAGCCCGAGCCCGGATCAAAACACGCTTCCCATCCCCAGGCACCGCGTCACCAGGGCGAAGGCGAAACCCCGCCGCCGCGCCGGGCCTTCGCCGGGTCTAGACCTTCGACACGGTGCGCTGCGCTCCCATGGCCCCTTTAGCGGGGATCTCTGCGCGACAGAAAGAGTTGCATTTCCCCTGACAAGCGAAGAATGGGTTGCCCAGGGATCAGCCCGCCCCCGAGCACGGCTCCGAGAACGCCCCGCCCCGCCCTGCCGCCACCTGGGGGGATCTGGGCCCTGCACTCACATGCGCTTGCACCGCCGGCACCGCCTCGCCGACGGGCACGGCCGGCACGGCGGCCTACATGTTGGCACCCCCGTCATGCCGTGGGAAATGCTAAGTAGGCCGGCCGCTGTGCCCTGGCAGACCTGGCAGCCCCGCAGCCCCGCGGCCCGGATCCAGGCAGCCAACCCTTGCACAAGCCGCGTGGTGCAACCCAGTGCCGCAGCGGTGCCGCAGCGCAACGCGCAGTGCACTGCGGCGGTGCAGTGCAGGATATCTGCTCCGATCGCCCCGATTACTCTGCGATGCATTCCACGGAGGCTAGGCGCGGCGTGGCGTGGCGTGGTGTGGCGCGGCGGCTGCGATCCCAGACAGATGATGATCTGCAGACGCGTACGCCAAATTCCTGATATATCAGCTGGTGTCGCCCGAGGTATGAGGGGCGTCGGGTCTTATCAATAGGTTCTGCCGATCGACTTCGGACACATCAATAATTTTTCTTTTCGACTGGCTAGGGCAGTGCGGGGCTAGGCGGACAGCGCAGAGGTTCAATACCAACATTTATTTATTCACATATCATTTTACTGCCTCACCCAAAAGCGGTTGAAACCCGTGGCATCAGCTGATAATGAATATGCAACGTGTTGGTCGAGGTTGTCGAGTCGAGGCGTCGGTATTGGTCGGTACCCGATTCTGAGGGCAGCGGATCGACTCCTCTCTAATCCTACTCAATTTTTGACCGCCCCGCTCATTGCGACCCGTCGCGTCATCAAACCGCCTCACTCCACCCTCGCCATGGACCGTGGAGGCTGAGGCTGGAAATTAGTCTGCAGACGGGGTCATGACCCCGACGGTGAGGCTTGATCCACTCCCCAAATGCCCTTCATTTTTTTTCGACTGGCTTCTTCACTGCGACTAAGTTTTCGCAAGAAATAAGTAGAAAGTAGGCAGTAGGTTACCGCTCTTGTGGCGTCAGTGATTATTGTGCGCCAAGCGTCGGGATCAGCGGGACGGCTCGGCGAACTGACCTGCTGCAGGGCGGCGCGGGGCGGCGCGGGGCACGGCGAAGGGGAGGATTGTCAGCGGGTGATGGAGCAGGAGCGGCAGAAGGTGCAGGCTCCCCTCCCCCACCCCTCTCGCGGCCTCCTCTCTCTCCTACCCCCGCACGCCTCGCACTGCTCGGGGGAGGCGAGAGAGAAAGAAGGAGCGAGAGGGTCATCATTGTTCATCAAACACACAAGAGGGAGAAATGAGAGCGGTCCGATCCGGCCGCCGCACCGCTGCGCCGCTGGAGGCTCCGGCCTGGGACGCTGGAACCGGATTCAGAGAGTGACACGCACCCCCGTGCACCGCACACTCACCCCCAGCGCGGTGCAGCCCGGCAGCCGGCAAGCCAGGCAGCCAGCCATCCCTCGGCGGCCACCCTTCCCCGCGGCGTCTTTTAATTTGCTGCTGCCTCGCCGCACCGCGGCCGGCCGCCCAGCGAAAGGCGAAGCAGGCGAAGCAGGCGAGGCGACCTCTGTCCTGTCCTTCCGGCGGCACGGGGGCGCGGCGACGCGACGCGTGTCGCGCGTCAGCGGCACACGTCACGCGTCCACCGCGCAGTCACTCCACCTATCAACACACCTGCGACTGTTGGGCAGAGCGCGCGACTTCCGGCCGACCGCGCCGTTATCTCGAGCCTGTTGCCCTTCGACCGCCGTCGCCGTCAGAACTTTATTCGACACGTCCGACGATTGTTTATGGCCAAGTGGTGTTGACGCGTCATGAGATCCCGAATGTTTGTGCTGCGGCACGCAGTGATTAGCTACCAAGGTGCAGTGTAGCCGCAGGTCAAAACGGTTGACAATTGTCTAGAAATCGTGATCTTGGCTGACTTGTCGTGGTATCGGACCTTCTTTCTTTCGTCTGCCATCATCAAAACGGTCTACATCGCCCAGATTTTTTTCGTGCGCTCTTGGCATGGCGCGCCGAAATCTGCGTGGCGTCGAAGCATCGAGTCCAGCAAGCGACGCCACAAAGGGATGAACTGCCCCGCTGCCCCAACGCCCTCTGCCCGCCCCGCACCCCATTTCCCTGTCTCCGCTTTCTTCCTGTGCTGGTCCGCTTCCCTTCGCCATCCATCTCTCGTCTTCTTTCCGCTCCTTTCGCTTCCCTTCGGCGGGGCGGCGCGGCGCGGGCGGGGTGCTTCCGCTTCCGGCTGTATTGGACCGGCCCCGAAGCGCCGCGGGCCGCGCCAGCCGCGCCCGCACCAAGGGGATGCAAAGGGAGCTGACGCTTCATCAAGGCCATCAAGGCCGCGTGCCACGTTCGTAGAGTTCGCGGTGGCGGAGGCAGCGGGCGCACTGCTTGGACTTGGCGGACTTGATCCTTGACTTGGTCCGCCGCCGGGCGCACACCATCGCGCCGTCAAGCCGCCCCGCCCCGCCGCACTACCACGTACTACAAGTGCGAGAGAGACAGAGAGAGAGCAAGAGAGGGAGAGAGACGAAAACGACTCTCGGAATCAGTCTACAGGTGCCAAAACGACAGGGTCCTGACGAGCGCGGCGCGGGCCGCAAAGTAGCGCTCAGAAACAAGCGCAGCGAGACGCGCCGCGCGCCGCGGCGTGGCAGGCGTGGCAGGCGTGGCAGGCGTGGCGCGGAGTACAGTCCGTCCGCCGAAACCGCACACGCACACACACTCTCTAACACAGAGTTCGAGACACTGCGATGGGCCGTAGGCAGCAGGAAGAGGACGACGACGGGGAGCAGTAAAGGATGAGGATGAGGAGCAAGAGGAGCGCGAGGAGGACGAGGCGCGGATATCCGTACCGGCAGCGGCAGGGCGGCAGCGAAGAGCAGCCAGCAAGCCGCCTCAGGCTCAGGGAAGGCGAGGCAGGCGGGGCGGGGCGGGGCGGGGCGGGGCGGTGGGGGAGGCAGCGCGGGCTAGCGCGGGCGGCGAGGGAGGGGAGCGGGCGGGCGCGGCAGCGGTGGCTGTGGAGAGGAGAGCGACACTAGCGCTCCACGCCGCGGCCGCTGCCACGCTGCCGGACTGCGGCCGCGCTCGGAACTACGGCCCTCGCTCGCGTCGTCGGCGCTACCAGCTGTTTATTGCTGGCTCACACCGGCTGCGAGCGGGTCGGTGCGTCGCTGTCGCTCCGCGTCCCGTCCGTGGCGTCGTCCGTCGTCCGAGCAAGTCGCGGCGTGGCGCAGGCGCAGCTACTGCAGCGGTGCAGCCAGTGGCTCTCGGCGAGTGCAGAGCGGTGCAGTGACAAGTGCAGTGACATGTGAACCAGCGCCACCCCTGGCAAGGATTTGCAAGGATTACCGTGACTGCAGTGCGTGTGTGACATGGTGTGACGCCCCTATCAGTGCAATACGTCAAGAATTGTGGTGGCTGCGGCTCAGGCAGCCCAGGTGTGCAGGAGCAAGTGCTAATATTGAAAGTGGAAATCGTTGTGTGGAGTGCGCCTTGTGGAATAACTGTGTGTGCTTCAAGACCGTGTGCGTGAGCACACGCGTCGAACTATTGGATTTAACTCTGTCCCCACTGATAAGGTAAGTCCCTTCAAGTCAGTCGCTTGAGTTCAAAAGCGTTCCGCACCAGTTGCAAACACTTGCAGCGTACCTCTTGAGTTCGTAGACCTTCGCGTCCAGCGGCAGTGACCTGTCTCCTTGTCCCATCGCGCCAAAGCCCGCAGCCTGCACTGTGGGGAGAGGCAGGTACATCCCCCGAGACTGCGGTGCATGATGAGAAGCTGGACAAGAGGCGCCGGGTGCACTCGCCTGGTGGGGAGGCGGGGACGCGGAGGCCGAGGCCTCTCTACTCGGAGCCCCTCCTCGGCCCTCGGCACAAAGGAGCGTCTCAGCCTACTCGTTACCACGCCGTCCTCCCTAAGACCCCGTCTCGGCAGTCTCGGCCACTTCCGGAATTTTCCTGGCGTGTCGCCGGCCAGCTCTTGCTACTGGCGACTCTTACCGTCTCCGAGAACCGCTCTCCTCGGGCGGGTGGGCTTCCCCGCGGCCGCCTCGCCCCTGCCTCGCCCCCGCCCCTCCCCTCCCCCGCGCGCCGCCCGCCTTCCGAAACGCGATTGGCGGCGTGTCGTGGAGGTGTGCGACACTGCGACGACCTGGCGACCTGGCCGGGTGCCGTCGGCATATTACTTTTTGATTAGATAACGGGAACTCTATCAGAACGGCTCGTCGTGCCGCCGTGGCTCGCGAGGGCACCCTGCCGGTGGCTGCATGCTGCGCGTCGCTGGCGGGCCGGCCGGGCCGGGGCGGCTCGGCGCACATAATCTGCTTGCCGTGCCCTGGCAGAGCCCGGCAGTGCCATAATGGCCGCATCGCGGAGCCAATCTCAACCCAATTAACGGCTGAGTGGCGGGCGGGGGCGGGATGGGCGGGGCGCCGCGGAGGCAGGTCGAGCGCCACCTGACTACGCGAGGGAGCCTTTTAATAGAATCTCCCCCGGGGGTGGAAGACAAGTTCGTCGATCCTCGCCTTCTCGGCCTCCTCGGCGTCGGTGCGGTCGGCTGCCCGTGACACGGTGCGCGCGGCGCGTTGTCCCGGGCCTCGCTTTGCCGACTCGCGCGTTATCGACTTCGGCGGCGGAAGTTCGTCGCGGCCTCCCCTGAGCCACGACACCGCGACACCCCGAAGCTGGTGGCCCCAAACGCCCTAAGCTCCTTGAGTGCCCTCGCTCACCCTGCTCACGCCGCCCGGCAACAGGTTTCGCCAAGCCTTGCCAGCCCTCACGGCCCTACGCCGTGAGGCTGTCTCGGCCGTCTTGTGGGTGGACATGTCGACCGCCACCCTACTGTCAGGGATGAGCGTCGAGGCGCTGGAGCGAGCCTTGAGCTGCCAGTCGACTGATTCCGAGGGCCGCCTTCGTCGCTCTGTCTCTCTCGCACCTATACGGGACGCCCCACGAGTGCGAGAGAGACAGAGCGACGAAGGCGGCCCTCGGAATCAGTCGACAGAGGTGCACTCGTGACATGGGATGCCCGCCCTGCCCGGCCCTGCCCGCCACACCAACCCGCCTGCCGCCATGCTGCCGCGCGTTCAGGTCGGCTCAGGTGCGGCTGCAGGGGCAACTTACCCCAACACAATGCGCCGCTCTCTGCCTCTTTCTACCCTTTGCGGAGACGCCTGTCATCTGTAAAAGGCCTGCTGGGATGGTGGTGCCAAAAAATCATCGACTCCCCCCGGTCTGGAGAAATGCTCTTGGCCTGGAGAAATGCTCTTGGCCTGGAGAAATGCTCTCCGACAAGTTTCCTGTTAGTAGTACGCTGATGAGCTATTCCTTGCTTGGCGCAGCGTGGCGTGGCGTGCCGGACAGTGACGTGCCGGACAGTGGCGTGTCTGGTGCCCGTCGATGCTGGCTGACCCGGATCTGTCACCGCGGATTAAACATTCATCGCGGCCGTGCGCCGCGTCGCGTCCACCCCGGGAAACCCGGCAGGGTGGAATTGGAAAGGGGAAGGCTTGAGCCTTTTGTCCCTCGCCGCCTGAAAAGTAGGCCAAAAGCGGCGCTTTGCTCGGGCCCTCGCGCAGGTCGATGCTGGATCCCCTCTTCGAGCACCCTGAGCACTCGGGGCACGCTGTGGCCCTGGGCCGCCCTGGGCCGCGCGCTGGGTCGTGGAGGTGCACGCCGCGCCTGCCGCTGCACCGCCCGCTTCCGGCGCCGCGTGTCGTCACACCGTGGGAACAGTCGGCCTGCCGCCGGGCCTGCCGCGGCCCGTCACCCGTATGCTAAAAAGGGCCGGCCGAAAGGCGGCCGCGGGTCGGAAGTAGACAAGCAGCAGGGTCGCGAGAGGGTCGCCAGCGGTCGCGGCAGTGTCGCGGTCGGGTCGCCCGGAAATTGGCGAAGTCACGTCGCTCACGTCGTTCCTCCTCCTCCCCCGTGGCAGTGGCGTGGCAGTGCCGTGGCAGTCAAGTGCAGTGCTGCCGTCCTGTCATACGAGGTGTCATACGTGTGCCCTGCGTGCTCAGCAGCAGGTAGCAATGCCACTGGAAGCCCCGCGACAAGTCGGACAGCAAAAAGGGGGGGGGGAGAGGCAACCCCCTGCCCTCGACAGGCCTAGTTATACTGACCTGGCCGCTACTCCAGGCTCCAGGCTGTTCGGCGTGGTGCGGCGTGGTGCGGCACGGTGCGGCACTGCAGCCTGTCAGTCAGTCACCTCTGACAACGCACTGTAAATCAGGCTAAAGTGCGTCCCAGCGCCGCCAGGTGAGCCGCCGCCTCGCCGCCCCGCCGCCGTTTTGCAGTACGTATTTATGGCACGGTCCGGCCAAAGCGACGCCAAAGCGGCTCACTGTCCCTCGGCGCCAAGGTGCACCAAATCACGGCCTCAAGTGGCACGCCGGCGTGCCCATCGCCAGGGACATCCTTGAGGGCTGGACAGGCGGGCGGGCTGGAAGAGACCTAGGCTCCTTGACCGTGACACCTTGCCGCTCGACCAGTCTCAGTCTCAGGAATTCGAGTTTGCTCCCCGGGCAGATTCAAGGGGTGGTACGGTGCTCAGCACGTCAGTGATTTCAGATACTACTGCGAAATATTATCCTTGAGTAAAGAAAGCTTGTCCTTTTCGAACGGGACCTTCCGAAATCGAGCAATGTTGCCGCCACCAGTGGTGTCGTTGGTGTCGGCGCCAGACTGTAGGTGGCGGAGCACGGCTAGCACGGCAGGGCAGACGCACAGCGCCCCATTTCCTTCATTTCCATTGTCCGAGGCTAATGGATTGAAGCGCGTTGACGCGAGCGGCTCGTACTGACGTACGGACGGACAGGCTGGCAGTCGCACTGCCGCTCGGACTTTGATCCCCATGATTGCAGGGCGCAGGGGCCGCAGGCGGCAGTGTCGCGCTGCATTTCCGTCCGCCGGATTGATCCATGCGACGATTGATTGATTGTGGGGACGGCGCCGCCTCGCTTTGCCGCGCTCCGCCGCGCTTTGCCGGGTCATAGGCAATGAGCGTCGGTCGCCGAGGTTTGTTTCTGTTGGTCTCTTTGGCGCCGGGCGCGGCCGGCCGGACCTAGTACTGTACGGTGGTGTCGGGCTGGTCACGGCGTCGAAGATCTAAAAGCTGCCGGCGATGAGGGACTGCCTGGGGCCGAGGGGCACAGAGCGTGGAGTCGGTTGGGCGCAAGGCTCGCCGCCACACCGGCCTGCACCGCTGCATCGCAGCGCGTGCCGCCCCGCCCGGAGGTCGTGACCCCTCCACGCGTCAACGCTGTGCTCCGAGTCTCCTAGTCTCCTCGCTCCTCTGCCGACTGTGCACAGCGAGGCGCCAGTCTGCGAAACTGGGCGGCCGGCTCTGTACTGTACACTGTACGTATACTCGACCCGGAAACGGCGCACGGCCCGCCGACTCGTGCCCCCGCCGCCCCCCCACCGCCCCCACACCGCCCCGCGTCGTGAGTTTCCCAACTGGCGCGTCCGCCGAGGGAGTGAGGGCAGACGCCGTGAGCTGGTAAGCCGCCGCCACCGCGAAATGGAACCTATCCACGCGTCTACGAGGTAAAGCGGTAGAGCGGTAGAGTCTTGTGCGAACAGGTCGCGGTGCGCGGTGTCCGGGGCCACGCCGTTCCTGGGCCGCTGGCGGCGCGCCGACGCGGTGGTGCTGCGGAATGTGTTCGCGGCCGCGCCGCCCAGCCTGGCCCCCCTGCTCGGGGTGGCGAGCTCGTTAGCCCGCTATCAGTGCAGCGTCCGGGGCGGGGCGGTCCGGGGGCTGGCGGGGCGGGCCGGCACTTGGCCGTGGACAGGCGGGCCGTGTCGCGGGCCGGCCGGTGTCGCAGCCTCTCGGCCTTGCCTGGCCTTGCCTCCGCCCAATTAATCGCTGCGGTCTCGGAGTGTCGGCGAGGTGGGCGTTTCCGCACCCCGCGGCCGCTGGGCCGCCCATCGCGCCGGCGAGCGGAGCAGCGGAGCGGCCGGGTTGACCGCGGTCTCGGTCTCGGCGGCGGCACGGCGGCGCGCCGGCCCGTGGGAACGGCGGCGGCACGGACTGCAGAAGACGGCGCGCGGCAGAGCGTTGCCGCGCTGCGTTAGTAGTGCGAAGGTCCGCGGCGCCGTGCCGCTGGCCGTCGTGCCCTAGTTTCCTGACCGGGCCGGCGCCGCGTTCGCCGCGTCACATAATAGTGGCGAGTCGGTTACGGGGAGGCTTATGTAAGTAAAGCCCAGGCCGCCGCCGCGTCTGACCGGTGTTGCTGCTGTGCAGGCTGCAGGTCGTCTTGCTGCATGTCCGCCCCGCTTTCTGGCTCCACGGGGCTGGACACTTGGGCTGGGCCGGGGGCCGTGCAGCCCAAGGCGGTGAATAGCCACTATTCCACTATTCCGTGGATCCACCGGTGAATAGAGACAGTTATCTTAACCATAGTACCACCATTATTCACCCTCCCCCGTTGCACCCTTTCTTTTTAACTCAACACCCGCCAAAATGGTTTTTTCCGACGTGCGTCGATTGGAGCCCGCGGTTCCCTGGCGGTTCCACCCGGCCGCATGACCACGTGACACCACGTGCCTCTGTCTGTAACCGCTGTTCTGCAGGAGGAAGACT